ACAGGATAAAAATGTACATAATTATGTTTTCTTGTATAAAGGTTGACCTACGCTGATTTCATTGCAAGATACAAAGTTATTGTGAATACTTCAGGTAACTATACAGATCATATTGTCGTCAATACTAACTACGAGTATGAAATTGAACAGAAAAAGGATTTTTGATGTGAATGAGATTATGAACATTGATTTTACACTTTTTTCCAGGCACCCTCCCTCCACTTTTGTATGATAACTATATTGGTGCCTATTCCTTTCGAAATGTCATATCATAAAACCTACATGGCCATCCGCCATTGTCTTGATCGTTGTTTTATCTTCTGGATAATAATTATACTGAACTGATCTTAAAGCAGATATATATCAAATTTATTGGTTGAGATTGTACACTCTCACTCTACAGTGAAAAACAACACTTTTCAATAAAAAATTCACACTTTTTTCCTTCCAGAATCAGAACAACTTAATGGGATGGGACTTGTGACTGCTATTATGGAAAGTGTGTTTGATGAGGAAGACAAAGAAAATGACTCGATGACTGCACAGTACGGCAAGATGAAGATATTTCTTAGAGAGGGACAGGTAAGGTCATAGTGAAAAGTAAGTTACCATGGCAACATGAGATGAATACTCAAAAATTCCACCATACCAGTCCAGTTATGAACCAAGCGCTGGTCTGCACTTTCTGCATTTTTGTTTTAGACTTAGAGCATAGCGAGAAACACAAATATAAAATAACTTCTACAACAAAGTCATAACACAAAGGCTATCGGTAGTGACATGTAATCAATCTCCATAAACAACCATCACCCAATGGTCTGCTACTGTTATGGTCCAGCACTGCAATGGACCAGTACTGAACTGGCGCTGGACCCAGAATGAACACACTCTATCCTGTCATATTTACCCACAATGCCAGGGAAATGACGGATGTTTAAATTTTGATTTCATTCATGAAGATTCATCCAGGAGTTCTTTTGCAATAAATAAGCTATGGTTTGATTAAATATTTAGATGTTAAATGAATCTTTTTTTAAAAGCCAAAATTGAACATTAGATGAAAAAAAGTAAGAAAAGACATATTCAATGATTTATTTTAATACTTTTTTGTACAAAAATTGGAAGAAATGGACGAGAATTACTCACATATGTCGTTGCAATAATTCCTTCATGTTTGGTCTAGTACGGGTTCATAATGAGGGTCACCATAATGGTGGTCCACTACTGGAGAAAGTATGATTCTGTATGAGTACAGTCATTAAGTAAGCTCTCTATCATGGACCAGTACTGATAACCAACACTAGACAGATGGAGAGGTTTCATTTTTGAGGAATTTTCATGTGTATGCAGTTCTTCATTTGTACGATTGTATCTTTCATTTTTCATGTTTGATCTAAACATTTCTGTATGTGTGCTGGGCTATGTCATTAGATCTTATGATTTCTCTATATTTTGAATAATTTATCCACAGCTTGACCAACTGGAATCTGTAAGGGCCAAGCTATTGTCTCGATATGTATTCACCCTTCAGTGTGCTTGGAGACGATACATGAAAAGAAAACATCAATGTATTCTTGCGTCATCGGCCACGGTGATCCAGGCATTGTGGAGAGGTTACCAGACACGAAGAGAAATACAGCAAATGAACAGAGCCGCTAGAATTATTCAGTACGCTATGCTGAAGTATGTTATCAAGAAAAGACGATCAACGCGAAAGATGTTGGAATTGGACGTGTCAACGTCGGACGAATCTGATGCATCTGATGCATCTGAAGAATCTGAGGTATAGTTAGAAGATCATGCATCTAATTGTGATTTGTGATTTAGGATAATATTTGACGCTTGTGTGCGAATAACAAACATGCAAGTCCAGCATTGTAGCCACATCAACAATCAGTTCACAATCACTTTGTGAGTCTGTTCTACTGATATCTCAAGTTCTCAATCATCACATTTCAATGAAACATGGTGCTTGGATGATCTGGGACTGTGCACAAACCAATTTATTTTTTTGTTGCAATCTGTGCATATTAATTATCTTATTTACATATTATAATACATTATTTACATTCACATTACTTTTCACTATAATTTCTCTAGATCTCAATCTCATTTGTCTCCTGTGACGAGGACAGTACATTCACGAGTATCGATTCAAGCTTGCTTTCAAATACAGATGTCAGTCAATCTCTGGATGAAGACTTGGATTTATCTTTAAGTTCTGATATCACTATGGATTCGACTGCAGACTTTGAACCGTCGTTTGCACCCAATCACATCTACGCCGGACGGTTTGTTCATCGTGCATCCCCGATGAGTTTAATGAATAGGTTTAGGACTTGTACTGATGCTGCAGATGAGGTCTCTGAAGATTTAGAGAAGTCAAAGCAGATTAAAAAACAGAAAACAAAGTCTGAAATGGCTATTAATATTCTGACGATGCCAGCTGTTGATGTGGTGTTGGCCGCCACAATGGTGGGACTGGTTTTCCACGGTCCTCTCCGCTTCTAACTCGTAAAATTAGCTATTCATACTGCCAATCACAATGATCAGATTTAAAGAGCGGTGTTCGTCACACCGTGTCGTGTTTAATTCATTTCGCAGTGATGTATACAATGCTTATTGCCCGACAGCTCTATAATCTGTGATGCTATTTTCACTTATTTTTAAAATGTTTTTACAATATTTACTGCCAGTTTTATTGATTTTGGAAACTTTTAGATTTTTTTTTAGTATATTTTTCTTTTTTAACTTGTAAATATATTTGTGATAACTTTCTTATATTTTGCTTATCATTGCAGTGTTTTGACATGTGTGAAATAAATGTAAATAACACAATGTACACTCATAAAGTTTGTTTATGATATGAATGTTTTTGGGTTATGTGTAACTATATGAAAGAAAATTCTAGATATATTACATTTAAATAAATAAGTAAAACCAATTTTTTCACTGGAAATAAGAGCCAATTTTAAAGTCTCTTCAAATTTGAGTAGTTTTAATTATATTCAGTGGGTTTTAAATTCACATTTTATCATTTAGATAATGTGTTCTATGGTAAGTTTTACATATTCACTGGGTTTTAATTTAGCGCATTTTCCAGTCAGCGAAATAAGCAAAATTAAAACCCAGTGAATAATTAATCCTTTTACAGTACACGTTTTACATCTGTAAAGTGGGATGTTTATCGTGCCGCATCCTGTTCGATATGGGACTCATAGCGACGTATACAACACGTGTAAAATACATTGTTTGTTTACATGAAATTCGAACACACGCTGCTCAGTGACGCCCACCTTTTTATTGATGTACATTTAAACCAAAAATTTACATTATTTTGTTAATCTCTAAATCATTAAAATATTACTTATTTTGACCATAGAAACACCTCTGTAGTTTGGAGAGATTTTTTTTTTTATTTCTATATCTTTTTCTGGGTAATCTTGAACAGAATAAAACTTATGGTTTTATGACTAGACAGGTACAGTTTTGATAATTTTTCCCTAAAGAAAATATTTGGCAGTTTTTTTATTTATCATAAAAATTGGATGTTTCGTTCATATTTCCCTAAATTTTTAACTGATATTTTCGATTACTAGAAACATTTTGTTGTTGTTCTATGACAATATAAGTTATTTTTCTTTTCAATCATATACTTGGTTTAGATAGAACAAAATGGTGCATCTTCAGTTAGTTTTAATTATATTAAGATACTAATTATATGAATTTTTTTTATAAGATACTATTTCAAAATATATTACTGAATAAGACCTTTATTATTACCTGGGTTGTATTTTTGTTTATTTCGCTGATAGCTGTATGTGCCTAAAGTTATAGGTTGTAAATATAGCTTTCTATTATAATGCAAATATTTTAATCCTCGGGGGCGGAGCTACGTCACAAGACGTTCCACGTTGCTACGACGCGCACCACTGTACATGCATTTCTATGGGCTCTGTGCGCGCTGCTGTGGAACGACGGTCGAGTCGGTGAAAATTCGAGAAAACAACACAAACTCAACTTTGAAGTAATCCCGAACAACCAAATTTATATATGTTACACACGTAGGGCTAATCTTGTTACACTGTTCAGAAGAGTCTCAACAATCATCCCAAAGTATCGTTTTCTGCGAGTTTTGGGCCTTTGTTTTCACCGCCGCGGGTTGCCAGGAGGTGAAGATGTCCGCCCCCGAGGATAGGTAACTTCAGATAGTGGTCAACCACTTTGGGAAATGTGTGGCTATTACGATTAAAACTATTAAGTCGGTATTTGACTATGTATTTGTTTATCTCTTTGTATACTTGTAAGAAGATTTTCAGTTGAGATGCATCTTGCAAGACTACTTGGGTTCCTTTGCTTTTACACCCCTTGATTACACGAAAAACTGCAGTCAGATGTTGATAAGTCGTCACAATTGGTCAGGCAGTTTGTTTTGAAATTTACTTCATCT